CGGAAGTCTTCAAGGTCATATATATATATATATATATATATATATATTCCACAATTGTTTTAGGAAATGCACTTCTTAATTGACAAATATCATTAATCAAAGATTACTTAAACTTACTCTGTGCTGAAATTGCACTTTTTTTCAGTAATGCTTAATGAAGTAGCACCATGGACAGCGCCATAATTTTTCTGTGCATTATCAGTAAAACATTTGGTAACACTTTACTTGAAGGGGTGTGCATAAGACTGACATGACACCTTCATAATCATGACATGACACATGTCATGAAGTAGGGGTAGGGTTAGGTTTGGGTTAGGTCAAATAATGTCATATTTTCATTAAAAATGACATAACTGAGCGAATTGACAGTTGTGACAGTTGTCATAAACATGCATAAAAAACCTTCATATTCATGACGTGTCATGTCATGATTTCATGTCAGTCTTATGCACACCCCTTCAAGTAAAGTGTAACCAAACCTTTTTTCTTGTTTACTGTATTATGTTTAATTAATTGATTAATTTACTAAAAAAATGTTAACTAACTTGTTATGCATGATCATGGCACCCTCTTTTTAATTTATGCAACTGTGACTTACATGCAACTTTTTCGAGCTATTTATGAGATTATTTGATAATTGTGAATAATTATTTTAATTTTATTTTTTTATTGATTTTAAACGTACCTGCAATAAAAGTTTGACTCTTTCAATGGGGGCCACAGCTGTCTTGGAGATGGCAGCGGCCACACCACCGGCCAAGAATCTTTCAAAAAGCTAATCACCGTGTCACACATGATGTCCTATCTCCTGAATGACAGTCTCACCACCAAAGGACCCTATAAGAACCCCAGCGACGCCCCTTCAAATGGGCGAGTGCTCGTGTTTGCTCCTATTATATCCGGACTCATTATCGCGAGAGGAGCAGATGGATCCACGAGAGACCGAACAGAAACTCAAAGCTGAAAAAATATCCCGGGTCATAGGCCATAAGTCTTACATAAAGTTCATTAATGTCCTGGGTCATGGATTTGGGGACGTTTAAAGGACAAATTTTATTTCTCACATAGCCCACATATGTATTATCATAAAACTATCCGATTCGTAACCACTGGGAAAAGGGTTTTATATATAATAAAAATTATAATGCAGTTGTAAGTAGCCGTAATATTACCACAGAACCTTGTCAGCATTGTATTGAATGTTTTACAGGAATATTACTGCATATGAAAAAATAAGTAACAACTATTTTGCTTACTAAATCATGTGTTAAAAATGCATTCATACTGGATAAAACTGACCAACATTCATGTCTAATTATAGGCCAATGTATATATA